TGAACACTACAAGAACCTATACTGTTCCAGATGCAGCTTTCAATCAAAAACCATTTTTTATATTCTCTAGTATTTTAAAGCAAAAGAAGAAGTCAAGCAAATCATCAACTCAATTAATACAATCCTCCATCTAAACAACAGCAACTACCCAATTTCCAATATGCAACAAATAGTGAAATTAGTATGCGAAGTCACTGCAAACATATTCTCTACAGCCAACATCCACAACTGGATCAAAGCATCTATTGAAGCCCTTACAATGTTCTATAACTTTATGTAGAAATCTTATTGTAGTATAGCAAATACTTCATCATCTACTAGCATCAAATAAAACAAAACAATAAAAACAAAAAAAATAAAAACAATAAAGCCAGCAACAGTAGCAAAAATAATCACAACTCTAGTGCAAATACCTCAAAAATTAACTCCACTTTTTATATTGATGCTGGTTCAAATCTTCAAAACTGTAATACAACAGTTAATATTCTCACATTAGTTGCAGAAACATTTATCCAAAATAATCTTAACTTTTTATCATATATTTCTAATTTTATTTCAAATTAGCATAATTTTATCTATCAAAATAGCTTTGAGTAGGCATATATAGTTGCTCGGCATCATTTGATTAATATACTAGTTTTAAAATGTCTTTTCTAATAGAAGTTAAATGATTACTATAGGCAGGCTAGCATTAAACTTACTGTAAATCACATGTGGAAGATGTTGTTTTTTTTTAAATATATATCCTGTAATATACAAATAAATAAAGAAATGGTGTTTATCTACTCAAAAAAAAATAAATAAATAAAATAATTACATAATAATAATAAATTTTTTTATTAAATTAAAATAAAATTTTTTTTTATTTTAAAAAAAAATCAAAAAAAAAAAGAATTTTAAATCATTTTTAACAAAAAAATATTTTAATATCTTGCTATTTTATTATATTTAATGATATTATTAGTTTTAATATTATATAATAAAAAAAATATTTTTTGTAAAGTTTCTAATAATACTATTTTAATGTTGATATTAAATTTACTATGAATTCAATATAGTAAATTACAACTTATATATTAAATTTATTATGTCAGTATTATTTTAGTACTATTTTTATATTGGTTTGAAATCTTAATATTTTGTTTATAATTCTATTATATATTAATTAATTATTAATTAAATATTTTAATATAATAAAAATTTTAAAATTAAACTAAAGTAAAATTTTCTAAAAAAAACCAAAAATTTGTTAACTGGAAAAAAATATTATTTTTTAATGAAACAGTATTTTAACTATTTAGAAATACAATTACTCAATAACATAAGAATATAAAACAGTTAAAAAAATATTTAAAAATTATATTAAAATTTTTATATAAGAAAGATTTTATATTAAAAAAAATTTTTTTTTTTTTGTTTTAAAAAAATTATAAACAAAAAATCAATAGATTACTTAGAATAATTAGCACTTTTAATAAGATAATAATCTCAAGTATACAAGTAAAATTATTAAAATACTGTTATATAAAATTTTTTTTGAAATTATTGATTGGTTTTTTAATAGTTCAAATTTAAATTTTATTGAAAATCTTTGAACTATTATTAAAAATATATATATATATAAGATTACAAAAAATATTTTAGAATTAGAACAATTTATGATAAAAAAATAAAATAAAATTCCAAATAAAGTTTTAAATAATTTTATATATTTAATAAATAAGATATATAAATTAATAATTGAAAATAATGATAAAATAATTAATTATTAATTATATATTAATAAAATCTCTAGATTTTTAGTTTTATTTTGATGTATTTTTTATTAATTTCTATGTAATAGTTTTTGAGTAATAAATAAATAAAAAATTTCAAAAATTTTTGCACTATACTATATGCTTGTTTATTTTTTTTATAATAATATAATTAATTAATTTATAATTTAATTAATTATTTTTTAAAAAATTCAATATAATAAAGTATTTAAAATCAAATTAAAATATGTAAAAATTTTAAAAAATATATATATATACTTAAAAAAACTTGAATTTTTTAAGTTTTTTGAAAGTTTTTTTTTATCAATTTTTTTTTTAGAAAAATATTTTTTTTAAAAAAAAAAAACAAATTATAATTATTGTTCATTTAACTGATTAAAAAATTAATATTGTTTAAAAAAGTATATAAACTTTATAATTATAAAGTTTTAAGAATGTTTGTTTTTTGGATTAACAAAAAATTAGCAAAAAGAATTTTTTTATATACTGTATATTAAAGTTATTAATATTATTTTTCAGATAATGTATTTTTCATATAATTCATTTGGATTAATAAAATCTTTTAATTTTTTTTTTTTAATTAAATTGTTTTTTTTTGTAACTTTTAATTAAAACCAAAATTTATATTAATAAGCTTTAATAAAATAGTTTTTAATTAAACTTATTTAACAATAAATTCAAAAATCCATTTATATCATTTAAATAAATAAAATAGTTATTAAATTATAGATAAAAAATAATGTGTAATTGCTATATTTTTGACTTACATTGTATTTAAAAATTTTAAAAAATTTTATAATATAAAAAATCATAAATTTTTTTTTTTTGGTTTTATAGTTATTTCTTGTTAAGAATAATGCTGAAATCAAATGATACTGAAATTGATATTAACATGTATAATATAAAATCATATTAATAAATATATAAAATTTATATAATAATTATAACAATACACTAATTATTATTATTATTATTGTTATTATTGTTATTTGTATTAGTTAAAAGCATCATCCCCGACATTTCTTAATAAGTTTGACTTTTTTCAAATTATCGAGTATCAGCCGTAAAAATTAAAATGATTAAAATAATTTTACTGCATGCAGGCTTAGATAATTTGTATAGGATTGAAAAATTGAATTACAATTCCGTTCTTCGATTATTTCAATTAATTCATAATTGCTATCCCTTATTCTTATCACGAAAATTTTCATTGAATCGATCCACATGATTAAAGATTTTGGGGTTTTTGTTTTTAACGTTTTCATTGCTTCCGCCATAGCTAATCAAAATCACTGTTATGTCTGAATATCAGAGATCGAACGCAGAAATATACATACAGTATATATCGAATTTTAAGATTACAGAGTAATGAAAATACAATAACTATAATTTCTATCCATACAGAGCGACAAAAAAGTTTTTTTTTTCAAATAAATAATGATAAAAATACAGTAACATTAAGATTTGAAAAATATAATATACAAATGGTTAATCATTTGACGGTGATTAAAGTTAAAATTTAAATGATTATTAATTTGACCAGAATTTGGGAATTTAGAGTGGACCTATTGCTTAGTTATTCATCTTACTGATTGTTGATTCAAAAAAAACATTTTATATTATCTGATTGTTGATGACAAAGAATGTTGAAATATTCTTCGTAAAAATACAAATAAGCTCCGTTTTCGTAAGAAATACCGAGGAGCGCAAGGGATTCAAAAATCATATGAGATCTCATCCTAAACGTTAAGAAGGTAAACAATCAAGATACAGTATCGGGGATAAATGAAAAGAGTCAACTCGGGAAAAGTAGAAAAAGGATCTCGACTGGCAATGTGAGAACCTCGACAGAAATGCCCAGATCACAAACTCATCAGGGACATTGGGTCAGGTCTCGACCGGAAACGCAAGGGGTTCACACCCAGATTTGCGTACGAACTTGTCGAATGGATTCTCGGCAAGAATAGTACAAAGATCATGGCACGTCAACGTCAATGACACCGATCATTAATATCTTTTCGGCAAGACGCAATTTCAGATCAGCCGAGAACCGAAAACGATGGAGAGAGTAAAAACACGAAAAAAACGGATTTACCTAACGTCCGAATAAAGAGAAGTGGATGGGAGCTGTGAGGTGGACGTACAACAAAGTTCTTGAGATGGTACAAGACGATGGAATCACCGGCATTAGCATCATGCTACCTGAATGACGAGTGCTCCACAACTGAAGAACTTCTCTGGGTAAAGGACCCCTATGGAAGTACGTCCGTACGCAATAGACAATTGATGGACGCATACAAAACAAACAAGAAGCTGCATAGAAATAATTTTCGAATGAAGCACACGATCGAAGAAGGTTCGAACACAAACCATCTCGATCATTGCTAGGGATTAAAATAGGAACAGAAGGAAATACGCGTTTTTAAAAAATATTATCACCTCAGAACAAGCATCAGACTTAAATAATACGGTTAACATATGGGATATCATCGATAACTAAGATGATGTTAATCTCGCTCGATCAGGTGTTCGCACGTTTATGGCCGGTTGACCCTGACGGTCAATTAATTGAGGATGATTTTACCAAGAAATATGACAAATTACAAAGTGACAAAGATTTTGCTTTGAGAAAAACAAACAAGAAAAGATACTTTGATTAAGAAAAAAAATGCTACGAATCATACAAAGAATCCATAATATAATTGATGAGTGCCACCATCAGCTGGCCCGTTGGTTATGTTATAATTACGAGATCATTCTTTTATCCAAGTTCAAATTTTCGAGAATTATTTTGAAGAACAAGCGAAAGGTTCAGTCAAAGACGGCTTATGCGATACTAACTTGGTCGCATTTCAGGTTTCGGATGTTCTTACATCATAATTCGAGGGAGTTTAGAGGTTGCAAAGTCATTGAATGCACTGAAGACTATACATCAAAGACGTGTGAGAATTGTATATTCATAGAAAATAAAAACGTTCAAATATAATTCGTGTGAGGTGAAGATAGATCGTGATGTGAACGGCGCCAGGTCTTGACCTGACTTTGGGACTTGAATCTATATAGGATACGATAGGTATAGTAAATATTAACTTTATTTATTAATTATTAATATTGGATTCAATTTCAAGGGTAATTATATCACCGATGGGTTTTATCACAAATGGATGATGATTGAGAGTTATCTATTTTCTAAATACTAATTTATACTATATACTGTATATCACATTATATTGATCCCTTGCCATGTTAAAGGATTAAGATTTAATTCAAATGTGATATAGCTTATCGCTCTTATCGCTACCCAGATTTTCCTCAATTTCTAACCTAAATTATTGGTTTAACCCAAAGTTAAGATGGATGTTCGATATTCATCAAGACTCAGCAACGCTAGGAATAGAAAACCCAAGTTTTATTCTAATTTAATCTTTAACCCTGTAATACACTTCTGTCATATTTCGTGTCTATCGTTTTTATCGTGGTTCACATTAATATACGTTAACATAGATTAGGTGAATGCTTATAGCTATGAAGAGATATATACAAACTTTGTTATTTTTAGACTTATAGGATCTATCCTTAGGTTACATAGCAGTAACTCATAAGAAATTATCTTAGAAAGGATCCCAGAAAAGAAAATAGGAAAGAAAAGAATAGATGAATGGAAAAGTGATATAAAACTAAGAAATTAAACAAGATTATAACCAACCACGAGGCAAGCTCGATGATCATTGAAATCCATTAAAAAGAAAAAAATATGCTCCATGGAAGGATTCCATATCAAATGAAGATATTTTCATCAAAAGATTTGAATATAAACGAAATTAACAATGCTTATTTTTTTTTCTGCGTGCGCACCCCCTCGAAACCATAGAGCGTCTTCCCTCGACGTTTCAAAGCCAACAGAACTTCCATAACTCCAATTGTTTTCTTCCTTTCGTATTCAAGATAGGAAACAACGTCTCGGAGAGTGTCGGTAAGAAAGTCTTTTAGAGCAGATCTCGCTTGATCGTATATCGCCGCTGAAATTCGTTTCACACCACCACGACGTGCAAGACGTCGAATGTCTGGTTTAGTGATTCCCTTAATGTTCTCGCGTAAGAGTTTCTAAATGAAAATAGAATTCCATGCTCGTTAGAACCATCACCTGCGTAATTTTGGACATTATAGTCTAGAACTGAAAATCAAACCCTACATTGATTAATTTTGGTACAGTAACATGATCTTATTTATAAAATCACATGAATAAATGATGCCCCAAAATTAAAGAATGTCACGACAAAATATTATTAATAAGCAACCTCTACGGCCCACTTACTCTGTGCCTCTGCGTAGAAACTTTCCCTCCTTTTCCCAAACCTTTGCCTCCCTTACCCCGACCTGGTGTAATCCTAACCATCTCTTATTAAAAATTTCTTGGACTTATAACGTGTATTTACGATGAGCGTTTTTTGTTTTGAACGTTTCAGGTTTATTATTGGTGAGAAAACTTCTAACGATAATAGATGTAAACAAAAATTTAAAGTTTGAAGTTAGAAAAGCCTCATAATTTTCCACCCATTAGAATACAATACAGCTTTTTGTTTACCTTGAAGAAAATATGAAAAACAGGTAAACAGGTCGACCTGTTTATTTTGAGTATTTATACTGATGTGTTTTCACTTAATCATATAAACACCATCAAATGGGAACACAAAAACACGTGTAACGTTGGTGTAACCATACCCATGCACAATTTAGGAAACTTTCTGGCAGATGACTGTTATTATTGCTTGAAACTTCGTGTAACAGTGTGTATATAATATTCGGTGGAAACGACGATTTTCTGTGCAAAATACCTTTTTTTGTTTTATAATTTCTTCAGATAGATTACGTGTTCATTTTTCATAAGAAGTTCGAAATCCGATTCTTCCGGATCTTTATCTTAAATTTACACATCAATCAAATGTTAACGTGGGCAACATTCTTTAGAGTCGTTAGAGTCGTGTAAATTTTATGGTTATGAGGATGAGGATGAGAAAAGAATTTTTTTTTTGTGTTTATGTGAAATCTGAAATATTTTATAATAAAAAAAAAAACAAAGTTTTCACGAAGTTCCCCGAAACCTGATTTTCCGGAATCGGAAAACGGATCGTTAAATTGAAACACCGATTCCTTAGAAATCGTAATTTTATTTGAAAATTTTATTTAATCAGGAATATACATAATGAGATGACATATTGTGTTTAAATAGCCAACCGTCCTCTATTTACCATTTCTATGTTAATTATAAGATTTATGTCCTAAGGTCATCATCACAAGCACACAAATCCCCCAAAAAATCCGCACATAATCACTGCCATCATACCAATACCAAAATTCCCCAATCTTGACGATTCCCCAATCGAAGGTGCATTATGAGCCGACATGCTAGAAGGCTTCTCTGAACGACTGGCGGTGGTGGATGCATGCGTGGCGGTGTGTGCATTTGATGACGTCGGTGAAGAATGTCCGATTTCGCTGGAGGCGGGCTGTCCGGGTAAACCACCATGCAAGCCAGCAGCTGGGCTCTTTGGATTAAAAATGGTGTCTCCCAACCCACCTGGTTGTTGAGTTGCAGCACTCGCCGGTTGAGGTTGGTTGTTACCCAGTTTACGAGAAGGATCATTTTGTTGAGATTTTCCTAATGGGAAGGAGGGTGCTTGTTGAGACGGGAAGGAAGGAACTTGTTGAGTGTTGACGGAGCATATGAAGGCGAAGGATATAACGAGAATTAAATATTGGTGTTTTATGTAAACCATTTTTTGTTATAAATACAATGATTGAATAAATAATGTGTTTGACTGACGCTATTAGTGTTGGAGTTCGAGGACGATTTCAATCTTCCTTTTATAAATTTCTTCTTCCTTTCTCTCTTATTTTAATCAAACATTGATTCATGATAATTCATCACGAAAATCATGAATCATTAGATGTATTTAATTTCCATGCTTTTAATTTATCATTTTTGTGATGATTCCCCTTTCTTCATTGATTGATATCATCATCGACAAAATTACGATGAATGTCTCTTGAACATCTTTACCCTCCTTCCGCTGTGATGTAAACTCGAATTTCAAGGAACCACGCTCGCTTTCTTCCCATCAATGATATAATCAATAATTTATGAAATGCTAATGGTCCGCACTTGGTTAATGATACTTTTAATGAACACAAAGTGTAATTTTGCATCCGCTTTTGAACGATGCGAAAGTCAGACCCGTAAAATATTTGTGACCTTCTCGCGACTAGTAAAAAGCGGGATAATGGTGCTCGTTGATGAAAAATAAACCCGAAATTATTTATCGATGGCAAAAAATAAATAAATAAGTAGGATAATGAATTAACGAAAAAAAGTTAACGATTATTGAATAATGTATAATGTATGAAAAAATAATATTAATAAGATAAAGAATTAAAAATCGATATTTTTTTTATTAATCAACAATATCAATTTTATGATAAATCATATTTTAGATGATAATTTTATAATAAACATATATACTGGATATTTTCAATGTACTTGCAAATTTTTCTTAAATGATACAAATGCTTCTAATAAAAAACTTGCTAACAATAATTAATCATTGATGACAAGAGATCAAATAAATCTTTTTTTTTTATAAAATATAAATGTTTTTATTTGAATTTTTAAAATTATCAAAATACATTAAAACCTCTATAAATCAATAATTTTGGGACTGACAAATTTTTATAAAAATAATCACATGGCAAGATCTAAATTATTTTTTTTTTATATTTTTTAAAATTCAAATATTAATTTTTCAAAAATTCTTCTTTTTCATTTACGTATTAAGTGTGTAATTTATTTTAGATTTTTTTTTATTATATCTAATATTTTTTTAATTACATAATAAATGATATTTTATTTATTTATTTATTTATTTACAGTATATGTTTAGAATTAGAATAATGTTTAAATAATTTAATAAAACAGGTTATACTATAATATATAATATAAAATATAAGAATTCAATACTTTTAAATATTTTATTGATATTTTAATTAAAAATATAATAATTGATAGTAATAAACATTAATAACAATTAAGAATTCTAATGATTTGATTTTTGATTTTCAGGTTTATATTAAATTTAATATGTAAGTTATAATCACCATCATTTTTAATAGTGTTACAAATTTTATATGAGTTTATTTGATTCCAATTTTCAAAATTAAAGATATAATAATTATTTATTTAATATTATAATAAATATCAAAAGATATAAAAGATATTGAAAATATCTAATTTCAAGTAAATAATAATTTAATAATATGTTTCTTATAGTATCTAATGTCTTATTCTATAAAAGTTATTATAAAAATCGTATTTTTAATTATTTTATCAATTATTTTTTTAATATTGAATTGTTGAAATAAATTTTAATAGCAAAAATAATTTATAAACAATTAATTAATATAAGTATCTAATTGTTTAGACAACTTGGAAAATAATATAATATAAAATTTTAAGTTTCTTTGATTAATATTCTATTTGTCAGAAATAAATAATATTTTTAGTTTTTTATATTTTAACTTTTTCTTAATTTTTATTATATTAAATAAAACAAATTAATATTTATATAATAGCAATATTAAAAAAATTTTTTTAATTAAAATTTTCTTTTTATAATAATTTTAAGCAAAAAAATATATTTTATATTCTTTATTGCAAATAAGCTCCAGCTCAAAAACTTGAGAATCTTTAAAACAACTGGTGCAGTAGAATGGGACCTCTGATCAAAGTCTATTCAAGTTTGGAAATTCTGTTTATTCTTCAATTACATAAGAAAAGACTTATAACAGTTCTCTTTTCTTTTATTCTTTTGTATTTCTTTTCCTTTTTACTATATTACAAAACTATTGTTAATATTGAAATAGCAAATCTGTTACTTGTGACAGGTCAAACTTATATAACTTAAAGTAGATTATTTTTTTCTCTATTTGAGATGTAAATTTAACTTAGTTGATCTTGAAACTATAATTAATTCTTTTCTTTTACTTGTTGTTTTCTTTGGATAGTTTAAGTCACTATCCTTTTTGATAACTTTCAAAATGATTTCCTCATAACAACATTATTCTAAAAAGATAAATTAATTAATTACTTCTTATTTTGAACATATTTATCACTACTATGTATAACAATTTTTAATTAATACTCCAGTATTCCATAATTATTTTGTGTTTTCTTTTTTAATAGAAAAAAATATTAATTAAAATTTTTATTTAAGATTAAATTGCTTTTCTTCTCTTTTCATATTTTTTTTTTTATTTATATATCTATCACTATATTAATGTGCTATAAAACTATCTTACCATGACTTATAAACTATTGCACTATAAAAATAAACTTTTTAAACTTTTTATTACATTATTATACTATCACTAGAATATTTTCATTGCTTCAATTAGGCATGTTATACAAATATCACCAGGTCTTATCTAAATAATTTTTTTATTAACATTATTCATATAAATATCATTACACTCACTAAATTAAATATTTTTCAAAAAAAAAAAACTCTTTTCCATACACAACATTTTTTCAAAAATTTCCTTTTATAGTAATTTTTTCAAAATTAAAGAAATAGTTTTTTTTATCTTCACCTTTAACCAC